AATTAATTTAGATATTCAATTTATTGCATTAGCAAAAATTAAAGGATTTTCTGATCGTTTAAGGAAAAATGGGACTATAGCTAAAATGAAGCAAGTAGATGCAGATGCTGTAGAAGTTTTCTTAAAAAATTCTGGTTTCGAAGGAACAATTGTTGGTAAAGAGGGAAAAAGTGTTTTGGTTGAAGTTACTGGTAATGTTAATATACAAGGTGCATTAAAATACGAAATAGAAAAGTCTAATATTTTTCTTTCGAATTAAAAATGTAGTAGTTTAACAATTACATGCTTATCTATATGGTATTGGAGCAGCTATAATGCGGGAAGCTTAATGCCCAATCTTGTTTATTATTTTATAAATTTGATATATATATATATATATATATATATATATATATAGTATTATTCATTTACTTCTGATTTCTATTGCAATCATAATTTTGTTTATGGGTTTGGTCGAGTTTACTTATTTGTGCGAGTGATACAAACCCCCAAAAGGAAACTCAACATAAAAATAAACTAAGTTTGTAAAACTAAAATTTACGGTTAGCGTGTTAGGGTTAGTGTTAGGGTTACGAGCTTTAATATTAAATTATAGGTTCTTATATGCAAATTTTCATCCCCGTTAATTTTTATTAGTCTAACAAGGTCGATTTAACGCCCGTTTTCTTGTATTTTCGCACAAATAAGTGCACGCGGCCCCTACCAACGCAAAAAGTAACATTACCCTCCTGCCCACATAAATCAAACCGAAACCACGCAGAATTCTGCCATTTTTGTAGTAACTTAAAATTTCATATCAAAAGCCGGCCTGCTTTAGAGACCACCGGCAGGTGCTACTGGGGTGTTAGATACCAAATGATTAACTATCATAGTTCAGCACTATATGATTGGCCCACTATTAAAGATTTTTAAAATTTTGCCGATCAATTTATCAAAAAAATTTATCATATAATAAAAACTAAGCATATTTAAAATGTTATAACTCCTGTTCTAGTAAAGCAATTTCAATTCTGTAACTTGCAAATGATGTGTAAATAGTAAGCTTTTAAAACTATGTTGAGACATTTTTCATT